TTCAAGGAGAAAAAAAAAACTCAAGACATGTCAATCAGGCAACAATGATAAACATATTGTACACTGTCGTTCCCAAATCATTCACCCAGGGGCTGGGGGATTTAGCTCAGCAGCATAAGTGCCTGCCTTGCAAGCAAGCAGTCGTGAGTTCGATCCCTGGTACTGATAAAGAGGAAAAAGACAAAAAAAAAAGTCACCCAAAGCACAAGACATCTGCTTTCAGTTGTCCAAACAATACCAGTTCTTCAGTGAACTCAGAGAAATCAGTAATACAACTATCTTAACTATTTCAGTAGTTATATGTGAAATAGTTACTTATATAAATATATACACGTTTCAGCTTCTCACACTAGTGATGCAGTACAATGTTTACAGATGTGTGTCTGATTTATTTTCACGTATGAATATGACCTCAAGTTGCATCCATTTACCTATAAGAGTTCAGTTTACCCTTTATGGCTGAGTAGTGCTCCACTGTATAAAAATATCACATCTTTTTTATCCCTCAGTTGATGGGCAGTTAGGTTTTCAAGATCTAGCTGTTACAAAGTGTGCTGCTATATATATGATGCACATGTATTGCTGTGGTATGGTCTTCTTAAGATTCCCAACTGAGTCCAATGGACCTCTAGTCCTAGTTTTCTGAGGAATCTCCACACTGATACGCACATTGGTTGCACTAGTCTGCACTCCCACCAACAGTGGAGGAGGGTTGCTTTTCCCTCACAGCCTCTCCAGCATTTGTTAATTGCTTGATTTGTTGGTAGTAGCCATTCTTTCTGGGATGAGGTGAAATCTCAGAGTTGTTTTAATTTACATTCGTTGAATGACCAGTGATGTTGAACATTTTTTTACGTATTTATTTGCTGTTTGTGTTTCTTCATCTTAGAAGTGTATTCATCACAGATGCCCATATTTGGTTTAGTTGTTTAAATCTGGGAGAACCGATTTTTTTTTTTTTTTTAGTTCTTTATTTGTCCTTTGTCTGAGGAACAGCTGCCAGAGATTTTCTCCCACGTTGTGGGTTGTCTCTTCACTTTGTGGTTTCTTGTGCTGTACAAATGTTTTTCAGTAGGGTGAGATCCCAGTTGTTGATTCTTTGTGATAGTTCTGTGCAGTCAGGGTTTTATTCATAAAGTCTTAGCCTACATCAGTATCTCCAAGAGTTTTACCTACTCTATCTTCCAGCAAACTTACTGTTTCTATTTTAATATTAAAATCTTTGATCCATTTTGAATTTAGCTTACTGTATGGAGAACGATGTGAGTCATTTTAATCTGCAGCATGTGTAGAGCCAGTTTTTTCAGCACCATTTATTAAAGAAGCTATCTTCCAGTAAATATGTTTTGCGCCTTTGTCAAGATAAGGTGGGTGAGTGTGTCTGAAGTTGTTTTTGCATCTTCTAATCTGTTCCATTGATCTTAGGGTCTGTTTTTTTGCCAGTACCACACTGTTTTTATCACAGCAGCTTTATAGTATAATTTCAAGTCAGAGATTGCTGTTTCGGTTATTTTGAGACAGGGTGTTGCTGTGTAGTTTAAGCTAATCTTGAATTTGCCATGTAGCTCAGACTAGACTCAAAATGATCCTCCTTTCTCAGTTTCTTGAGTGCTAGGATTACAGGCATGTGCCACCATGCCCACTTCCCTTTCACTTAACCTGTTTCCAGGACACACTTGTGTCCTGAACCTCATCTGGAGACCCTTCCCCTCTGTCAGCACAAATGAAGTCCCCTAGGACTGAGGGGAGAGGGGTCTCATGATAGAGCGTGGCACACCCGGAGCTGGGCAGGTGGAAGTGGTCTGATCTGCTAACCTGATCAAGTGCCTGGAGCTGTAGATGTCTTTATGCTGGAGCCAGGCAAGTATGTGGCAAGGTTTTGAAGAACTTCCATTCAGGTGTAGGTTCTGCTACCTAAGAGATCAGAAAATCTCCTAATCTGAGCCCCAAATAGTCTCACCTTTAATTGGACTAATGCCACATACCCCATAAGCTTTTCACAGGAAAAAACAGGTAAACACCTGTAAACACCTGTCACATCTTAGGCATCTGTCATAAAACTCTTTTGCCACTGAGCTGTGCCCTCCACCCTTATCATTGTAACTTCTAGTGCCATTAAACCTTGGTTCCCTTTTGTCAGTGAAGGAGCTCGGAAGTGACGAGACACAGAGGAGCGAGTTCCACTGTAAGGCAAGCCTCATTCTGTCTTGGGATTTTCCAGGCTTTCCCCACGACATTGCACTTTTCCCACGTCAGTGACTGACCCTTAGTGCAGAGGGCAGGGATGAAGCTGGTGCACAGGTTGGGAATCTCCATGTCTGGACAAGGTAGGACCTGGGCAAGCTATGAACAGGGAGCTTGTGAGGAAAGGAATCGAGATTACAGCAGGAAGTGAAACGGGGTGAAACCAGGAAAGGAAACAGCCCAGCTGCTGCATCTGGCTTCTTGTGGAAGCTGATAACGTGACAGTTGCCATTCTGTTGCCTTCGATCAAGGACCATCCTTATTGTACCCTTGACCAAACACCTGCTTCCGTGTGTACTCTAGCTGGGTGACCTGGTGGCAAATTGTAGTTCAGGCAGTGCTGCCCCCTTCTCGGGGTTACCAAAAACACTACAGTTTCTGTGGCTCCGGGAGCTGGTATCTGACCCAGCCAGCAGCCCAGATGTGGGCCATCTCACCCCCTCTTTAGGCGATACAGGAAATCAAACCCAAGGCCTCACACAGGCTAGGTTAGTGCTGTATGGCTGCGCTACCACGTTTGGCCCATGCTGGCCATTTGAGCCTAACAAAAACAGGGTCTCTTTTGCCCAGGGGTGAAAAGAGCCAGCAGGCAGGGAAGCTACTCAGTGTCCAGGAAGCCCCGCCTCGCAGTCTTCTGCACCGATGAGAATGAGTGATGCCCACCTAGGCCCAGGCTTTGGGGGCCATCGGAGAAGCTCAGATTCCCACAAGACTGGAGGCGCCAAAGGGCCAGAGTCTGGATTGGTCACCACGACGCATGATCTCCATCAAGAGGGAGAGGGCCAGGACAGGCAGTCACATAGTGTCTGGGGATTTGCACCGGAGCCCTCCGGGTGAAAGGCCGAAGGCTGGGGATGAGTCAGCCCAGGGCTTGGTAGGGATGCAGACAGGAAGCAGGGCTGATCGGGGAGAGCACCCAGCTCCTGGCTCCTACCCACTCTCTCCTCCGCCTGCCCTGCCCTGCCGATGCCACACACAGTGTTTAGACAGTAGCAGTGAGGAAACGCAGACATCCTGCATCCCTTGGGGAGGAGGCCAGCGCTGGGAACAGAAGGCAGTCTGTTTACTCCTGGCAGTCTGCTATCCAAGGGGTCCTGTACCCACTTCTGTCCAGACCCCAAGTTGAACTTTCCCAGAGCCTCTGACTTGGTTTGGTTTTGATTTTGTTTATGGCAGTGCTTAAGACTGAACCCAGGAGTCTGCCACTGAGCTCTGTATACCCCCATCCCTTTTTGGTTTTTTATTTTGAGCCATGGTGTCACCAAGTTGCCCAGGCTGGCCTCAAACTTGTAATCCTCCTGCCTCAGCCTCCCTAATAGCTGGGATTACATGTGGGCCAACACACCTAGCTTAGAGTCTATAACTTCTGCCCAGCCAGCCCGGATGGCCCAAGTCTTGAGGGCTGAGGCTGGCTCCCTAGAGAATGGGTTTGAGGCTGGCACTTTCCTCTTTCCCCTCTCTGTCCCAACCAAAGTCCCACCTCTTCAGGACCCCAGACAGCTGGCAGGGCTGGCAGAGCCACTCAAGCAAGCAGTCCTTGGGGCCCGGGTCTCCTCGAGAGCACAGATGCTCCTTTGCCCTGTGCTTTTCAGTGGGGAGGTTGTTTGTTCCTCACGTCTCACCACCAGCGCTGTGGTTTTAGACTGCTTCTTGCCATTTCAGCCTTGAGTGTGTCTGATTTCCTGTTCCTCTCAGCCCAAAGTTATTCTTGACACAAAGTGGAAACCCAGCCACCACACCTCTTGGTTTCTGTGCCTTAAAGTTGCCGGTCTCTCTTGCTGTCCTTAGTTTCCTGGGTTTCCCGGTGGGCGGCACAGAAGTGTCACCACTTTGCATTTCATAGGCTCCCTGTGCACCTTAGTGGAGTTCTTGCAGAGGGGACAGGTATAGAGGACAGAAATCCTCATAGTGTTAGTGACAGTGACAGCAGCTAACTCAGGGCCTGGGTGCCAAGTGCCCGTCCACTCAGTGTACGTCAGTCACTTGAGCTGGGTGCAACGGAGCCCCACCATGACTTGAGGAAAGTCAGGCATGTGAGGTTTAGAAATCATCATGTTCACGCAGCTGTGAAAAATCACAGGTGGGATCGCAGCGCTCATTCCCACCCTGGCTCATGCAGGGAGGACAGCAGTCACTGTTGAGGTGACCCCCACATCGAGTGCCAAGCACTGGGGTACAGGTGGTCACTGGTGTCACTCCATAAGCATCCCCACAGCACTCCTAAGAGCTTGTCCCTCTTGCTCCCCCATGGGGGAAAAGCAGGTCCAGTGGTAGCTTGCCTACAGTCACATTGTTAGAGCCACATGGGCCGTATATGCAATCCAGAACTTGACTCAGTAATGGAGAAAAACGCCAGATGCCCCCCATTCTGGAAGGTGAGGCTCGATTTAAGAGCTGAAGTGCCCATTGGGAGATGGAGGGGGACGTGGAGATTCTCAAGCCCCAGGCACCCAGTCGCTGCCAAGATCTCAAACGAGCACACGCTACCCTTTGGCACAAGCTGGCGTGCAGTCCCGGCACTCTGAGTTTAAAAGGCCAATAAAACAGAGATGTATCTGAGGAGGTGGGGCAGGCCATGGAGTCAATCATTATTAACTGGAGTGCATCTCCCAGATTAGCTGGGCAGTGGCAGCAGATGAGTGCTCCTAGCTGGGGAGGCTGCCATCTACGGAAGGAAGCCACTGCCTGGGTGGCGCGGCTTAGCTGATGGCTGAGGAGGGGTCACTAGTACAGGACGGGGAGGAGCCGTGGGGGCCAGAGGGGTGGCCTCTTGCTGGCTGTGGTTCACACGTGTGCCAAGTCCCACCCCTGGGGGCGGGGCCAAGGCTGAGTCTGGCCAGCATCAGCAGCTCCCTCCTTCCCTCCCAGAACCCAGGTTGGGACAGAGCAGGGCAGGCAAGCCAGGACCCTCTTGTCCCAGGGAAGCACTTGCCAGCTGGGGCGACAGACATGGTCTGAAGCCCTGCAAGGCTGGAGGCTGCAACTTTGACACTCAGGGTGGCGAGGGACACCTGTCCTCCACAGCCATGTAAGTAGCTACCCCCTTCTTGCTTCTCCCCAGCCCAGATCCTGAGGAGGCCACTGCACTGGCCCAAGTCACCAGGCCCTCCACTATGACATGTGAAATAGCCCAGTCCCCACTGGGACATGGCGCATGGGAGCTGATCCTTTTCTTGTTCCTGGGGGTGCCCATGGCTCATTTGAAAGGAAACCTGGGAGTTCATCCCAGGCCAGGTTTGGGGTAACACCAAGTCTCATGGGGTTTAATAAAGTTGATGGTGCTGGGAGGAAGGGGAACAGAAACTGGGAGGCCACTTGAAAGGTTAAGATGTCCTAAGTCAATGAGACAGAGGAAGAGGGAACTGGCTGAGGGGAGGGGAAATGGGCACAGTGGAGCCACAGGGAGGGAAGGGGGCAGCTCCCTGTACACAGGGTGGCCCTGCGGCTGGTCCTCCAATCCCAAGGCAGGGGCAGTGAGGGGAGAGGGGAGGAAGCCCTTCCTTATTGACTCTGATCCTAGCAACTGCAGCTGCTCCCCTATTGACAGAGGCAGGAGCTCCCACAGGACCAGGACCCCTGCCCTGCCCCTTCATGTGGCCATGCAGTGAGCAGGGTGTCCAGTGGAGAAGGGGCTGGGACAGATCAGAGCCGCAAGGTCAGACCCTACCCACCAGCTCCTGGTCCCTGTCCTCTGACCCTGCCTCAGCTCCCAGAGGCCGGGGGTCCCCTTCTGGCAGCTGGAACCCCCACCACCTTCCCTGCAGAGCAATCCACCACTGCCCCTCCCCTCCTGTTCCCAGGAAGGGCCTGTTGCTAGTGTGGAACAGACGAGTCAAGTTTATGGGCTGGAAGTCCTACCCAGAGGCTGCTCACTGAGCTGTGACAGGCTGTGGCGGGCACAGGGAGGGCACCTTGTGCCCCAGATTTGGGGGACCACACGACATCAGCCAAACCCCATCCTCTCGGCTCAGTCATCCTCTCTGCCCAGTCATCCTCTCTGCCTCAGCAGATGGGGCAGGAATGCCGTGGGTGGGTCCGCCTTTCAGTCTAAACAGAGGCAAAGCCCAGCGGCCTGCCTGTGGGGACCCTGGCGAACTGTCTGAGTGCAGCCACTGCTCAGCTGCCATACAGGGCATGCCTGTTCCCACACAGGCCAAGGCCCACGGTCCGAAGGCCTCCCCGATTCACACACAGCCCTATTCTAACCAACCACCCTCCTCTATCCAGGCCTGCCAGCTGCCACTGCCATGCTCTCTCATGCCAAGGCCCATGATGACACCCAACAGCACCGGGGAGGTGCCTGGCCCCATTTTCCCAGGGGCCTTGGGGCTCTCCCTGGCCCTGGCCAGCCTCATCGTTGCAGCCAATCTGCTCCTGGGCCTGGGCATCGCCTGGGACCGCCACCTGCGCAGCCCACCTGCCGGCTGCTTCTTCCTGAGCCTGTTGCTGGCCGGGCTGCTCACTGGGTTGGCACTGCCCATGCTGCCAGGGCTATGGAGCCGGAAACGCCGGGCCTACTGGCCCTGCCTCCTCCTCTACTTGACCCCCAACTTCACCTTCCTCTCTCTGCTCGCCAACCTGCTACTGGTGCACGGGGAGCGTTACGTGGCAGTGCTGCGGCCGCTCCGGCCCCGAGGGAGCACCCGGCTGGCCCTGCTCCTCACCTGGATGGCCCCCATGCTCTTTGCCAGCCTGCCTGCCTTGGGTTGGAACCGCTGGAGCCCTGGTGCCAACTGCAGCTCCCAGACTGTCTTCCCAGCCCCCTACCTCTACCTTGAAGTCTACGGACTCCTGCTGCCTGCCGTGGGGGCTGCTGCCCTCCTCTCTATCCGAGTGCTAGCCACGGCCCGCCGCCAGCTACAGGACATCCGCCGGCTCGAGCAGGCAGTGTGCCGCAATGCACCCTCCACCTTGACCCGGACCCTCACCTGGCGGCAGGCCAGGGCCCAGGCTGGGGCCACGCTGCTCTTCGGGCTGTGCTGGGGGCCCTATGTAGCCACCTTGCTCCTGTCAGTCCAGGCTTATGAGAAGCACCCACCCCTGGAGCCTGGAACTCTGCTCTTCTTATTCTCATTGGGCAGTGCCAGCGCAGCGGCCGTGCCTGTAGCCATGGGCTTGGGTGACCAGCGCTACACAGCACCCTGGAGGGCGGCCACCCAAAGGTGGCTGCGGGTGCTGAGGGGAAGACGTTCGAGGGACAGTCGCAGCCCCAGCACTGCCTACCACACCAGCAACCAAAGCAGCGTTGATCTGGACTTGAACTAGCAGAGGGGCAGAAGCTTCCCTGGTCTTGGCCTCCAGGCGCCTTCCCCAGGTCCCCACCTCTGGAGCAGAAACTCCCCCCCACTGCACCTCACCCAAGGGTCGTAAAACTTCTCTGGGCCTTTAAAGGGTAGGTTCTCAGAGAGCCCAAGGCTGCGAGGGACCATCCGCCTCAGCAGGCCGGCAGCTGGCAGGGTGAACAAACCACCAGGCGGAGGGCAGCTCTCGAACCTTGACCCTGGAGTGGGACCTGGGAGCCTCAGTCCGCGTGGCCTTCACTAGTTCCTCTTCCGTCCACAAAATCCACAGACACTGCCTCTGGGAAGTATATTTTATTTACATTTTTAAAATCTGTAACTAGTATCTCTTCCTCCTTTCCATCCCCAGAGACTTGGGAAGGGAAAGAACGGGAACCTCAAAGACCTACTCCCCACATACAAATATTTACCCCATGGCTCACACCAGCAAGTGAAGGAGAAGAGTTGCCCTCCCTGGAAGGCCCCGGGCCGGGCGAGGGGACAGAGGGCTGCAGGGTGGGTCTAACGAGGAGAAAGGGACAGAGGGCGCGTCAGCGGAGAGGGAGAGTAGTCCGAGTCCCCTCCCCTCCTCTACTCCTGTACCCTGTGCCCCCTGTGCCCCGGCTGGCCGGGGTGGGGGTGGGGATGACACAGTTCCTCCTTCATCCCCTCCACCCCAGACACCAAGCCTGACACTGCAGCCACTAACGGTCGGGTCTCTGAACACAAAATACTTTTGCTTTGTGGTCGCCTGAGGTGGTCACCACCAGAGAGGCATCTCTGTGGACAGAAAGCACAGGGAAGAAGGGAGTGAGGCAGCTGGGGCCCAGGCCAAACCCCACTACCGTGGGGCCCAAGGAGGCTCCTCTGGCATACCCGCACCCCAGGTCCCCAGTGCCAAGCAACGCGGTTACATCTGTGCAACCCGCACGAAGCAGCAGAGCTGAAGGGGTCAAAGGAGCTTCCATCTCCCACACGCCATGGCCGAGACGTGAGACCTGGGGTCACTGCCCACCACTGGACGGAGCTGGCTCACAGGAGTGGCTACTCAGGCTTCCAAGCACGCCCACCTCCTAGACTAGAACCAGGCCTTGGGTCTCCACTTGCCTAAGGACCCCCCAGAGCCCCATGCTACTCCGCTTTCCAAATGCACGAGATCCCAGCCCTGCCCGCTACACTCACTTGCTGAGGGCGAAGTCCAGGATCTCGGCAGTGTGGCCCCGGTAGTCAGTGAGCAGGCGGCCAGTCCGGGCATCCCAGAGGCGCACGATGCCATCCAGGCTGCAGGTGTAAACCACGGCAGTGCCGGCCTCCCACAGCAGCTGCACAATGCCCGACTGCGCAGAGGACGACAGAGGCAGGGCAGAGCTCAGTGGCGGGAGAAGACCTCTGCTCCCAGTGCTCAGGGAGGGACAAAGGGAGTGAAGGTCATGGTGAAGGACCATGGGCAGGTCTGGGTTTCCCTATGGCCACAAAACACGGCCCCCTACCTGGTGCTGACACTGGTGCCTGAGGGTCTGCGTAGACAGGTCATAGATGGCCAGGGTTCCATCCAGGTAACCAACAGCTGCCAAAGGCATCCTGAGCAGCAAAGAGCACCAGGATAGTGCCTGAGACCCTGGTGCGCGTGCCTCCTGCCTCTTGGCTCCCCTAGCCCAAGAGCCCAGGACCCCCCACAAGCCTCCCTCTCCCAGGTCCTTCAGGTCTCCAGGCCCAGGCCCTGGCTCCCACTCACACGCTGCAGAAGCCCAAGGACTCCACCGAGTTGGACTCACTCTCCTCCCCTTCTCCCAGGTTGGGCTGGGAGGCCACGGTCTCTGGTCTAAACACACCTACCACCTGTCAGCAAGGGGATGGGACACAGGCCAGATTCTCAGTGCCCCGCAGAGCAAACGCAGTAGGAGTGAATGAAGAGGGCCAAAGACTCGGGAAAGCAGAGGCCCCCCACGGGGCTCTGGGCCCACTCACCTTGCCGGTGGTTGCGCTGACCAGCTTGGCCTGACAGTCCACGGAGCCAGTCAGGATCAGACTGCCATCCTGATTGGTAGCGACACAGGTCAGAGGGCCTTGGTGACCCTCGGTCCCTGCAATGAAGCAGAGGAACAGGTCAGGCATGGAACCCAGCCCCTTATCATGCACCTCTCCCATAGATCCCCTCCTCTGATACCTTTCAGTACATGGATGGGGTTTCCCTGCTTCAGGTCCCAAATCCTGATGGTGCCATCCTCGTAGCCCACCACAGCTCTCTTCCCTAAAAGGCCAGGGAAGATGGAGGGGGAGTCAAACCTCAAGCAAGGGCATGGGAGGGAGGGGAGGAGAGGAAGAAAGGTACAGACACTGCCCAGGAACCACAGCTGCAGGTTGTGAATCCCTAAGCAGGCCGAGTCTGCCAGTCGGGGCCAGGAGGAGCTGAGGGAGTGCCAGTCTGCCTCTGTACCCAGTAAGGGACAGTCAACAGCTGCACTCACCATCAGGGAGGACACGGCCACAGGTGGCTGGGCAGTTGGGGCCCTGGAAGGTCTTGCAGTCACCATTTGGAACCTTCCACATCCAGGTGTTGCCGTCAGCTGTGCCCGCCAGGAGGACAGGTGCCCGAGGGTGCCATTCCATCCACTGGGCAGAGAGGAGGGGTCAGCAGGGAGGCCTGTCACTTTTCCCACCTAGCAGCCTCCCCATAACCCCCAATAGGGGCAGATCTGCTGCTGTACCTTGGGGAACACTGGTGCAATGGAGGTAGGACTGGCCCCCTGAAGCTCTCATCCCTACCTGAGGTTGTGCAGAGTTCAACCCCACTCTGAGAATCTTACCTCCAGGTCTCCTGCTTCAAAAGACCAGATCTCTTCCTTGGTGTCCACCTGCCACACCTTCAAGAGACCACTCATGTCCCCTGTGGCCACCAGGGTGGAATCGTGGCTGAAACCAGCACAAGTCACAGAGTCTTTATGGCCTGCAAAGAAAACATAAGTTACCTAGTGTTGGGGACACATGATCCAGCCCAAGGTACCTGGACCCCTAGGAGGTCCCCATGGTGACTGCAAGACCTTTTTCCTAGGGAAAGAAAGGCAAGTGAGTCACAGCAGGACAGGTGACCAAATTCTCTGCATCTCTGAGAACCAACAAGAGCTACACAGCTCCCCAAGATAGAACTGCTTCTAGTCCCGACTCAAGCAAGCCCAGCCTCCTATGCCTCAGCCATTCCTGTCTCGCTGCCCCGAACCTCTGCCTGAAAGAACCGCACTTCCTTCTGCTCACTTTCCCCTGCACCAGTGACATCACCTCTCAGCCCTTTCCTAGACTCCCTCTAGGAATTGTGCCTGTCTCTGTACCTAAACAGGCATTATTCTTTGTGTTCCAGGGGCCCATGCCAGAGCTGGCACTAAACAGAGGTCAGCATCGGGCTGTCGGAAGGATGCTCAACCACACAGGCCTCCCCCTTCGATCTCCAAAGCTACATGAAACCCCCACCCAGGCCACACTTACCTGCACACTCAAAGAGCAGCTCCCCGTCGCTGAGCCTCCACACAAAAGCTTTGTCATCTTCACCCCCTGTCACTGCCAACGTGTTGGTCTTGGGGTCCAGGCTCACACAGAACACAGATGCTGTCCCAAGACATAGGGTGAGTTCTATCCTTTCAGGACTCTCAGGAAGCCCACCTCTTTCACTCCAAACAATGCCTTCCCTCCAGAAAGAGAAGGATACACCCAAGTTCTATGTTTTAAGCCTGAGGCTGTTGGTGAAATCCTTCCTCAAGCCTGAGCTCCGGGTCCTTTCCCAGGCAGATCCCTTATTGTTCTTGTCCCCAGCTCCCTCACACATACGAGGTGAACACTTTTACAGGGCTTGCAGTTGTCCCTACAAGGTGCCACCAGGCTGCACCACAAGGAGAGCTTCTGGTGAGATTATAGAAAGTATACTCAAAATGTATATATACTTAAGTACTTGGTTTTGGTTCTGATTTTGTAGACTGAACCCAGCGCCTTCACACTGAGCTACATCCCTGGTGTATTTCTACATTTTATCTTTAGACAGGGTTTTGATAAGTTGCCCAAGCTGGACTCAAACTTTCAGTCCTCCTGCCTCAGCCTCACTCTTACAGGTATGTGTCACAATGCTTGGCCAAAAAAGTATATTTTTTAAAAAACTACAAATTACCTCTAATTTCCCTTCAGTTGACTTTAACTTTCATCAAACATAATTAAAAAAAAAAAAAAAGACCCAGAATGGTTTATAAAGGTAGTGACGTGCTAAGAGGCAGTGAACTCCTGACTCAACTGACTCCGATACCATTTGACTACACCAGGAGCTTGCAGAACAAGGCCAGCAGCTTTCCCGTCTGCAGATGGCAAAAGTGCCATGCTCAAATGCCCACCTGATGCGAGTTAAAGCGTTCACCTCAGAGGCCTACCTGAGTGCAATGCAAAGGTGACCTCGCTGTCATCGGGGCCCTCCATGCTGCCGACCACCCCTTCTTGGGGTTCCAGAACCCAACCCTCCTCATTGCCCTCTTCCTCTTCTTCCTCTTCCTCAAAGTCCACATCTTCCATCTCCTGGGCCAGATCATCTGCTTTGGGAAAGGTGTTAAAAGGTGGGGCTCGGGAGGCATGAGGGTTGGGGAGGTCTTGCAGCCAGAAGCTGAGGCGAGGTCGGACAGATGGGGCGTAACGGGAGCACGAAGGGCAGGACAGTGTATGCGTGGGGGGCAGGATGGGAGACGAGGTCTCAAGACCTGGCGTTGGCCGGGTCCGTGTGGGAAGGGAGGGCCGAGGGCATGACGGGAAGGGGGTGTGTGAGGGGAAGGGCCAGGGGAGGCGTCAGGGAACCCCCACCCTGCCGGGCCTCAGAACTAACGTGGGGGTGGGCTGGGGGCAGGGAGAGGGATGTCGGCAGGCGTGACCGGTGGGGTGTAGTTGGGAGGGGGAGACGCAGGGGTCAGAGGCCAGGGGTGAGCGCCTCCTGGCCCCTGGCCTGTGCACCGGCAGTTCTCACCAGGGTCTGGCGGGCCGGGATCCAGTTCTACCACCTCGATAATTTCTTCATCACCATGGAAGCTTAGGGTCTCCAGCGGGGGGGTGTCAGCGGCGGCCCCGCTGTCCGATTCGGACTCCATGCGGCGCAAGCGGCCGATCCACTTCTCTGGGCCCAAACGCCTCCCAGAGTCAGCTCTGCGCGACGACGCGGAACTCGAGTCCCTCCTCCCGGGAGGAAGTAGGCGTAGGCAATTCCCCGGCAGGAAGAGCGACGGCCACTCGACCAATAGCAACGGGAGTTGTCTAGCTGGAGCACCAATCACAGGCTAGAGTTGGGAGACGGGGCTAGCGCGTGTCGGGGAGAGCCCAAACTCCGCCGGCCCAACTCCGCCCCTAACAAGAGGGAAACAAGCGAGCGTGCGCGCCTCCCGGGTCTCCTGGGAAGAGTAGTTCTCCTGGGCCTAATCCCGCATGCTTCTGGGAGATGTAGTTTCTGGTCTGTAGGCAGGGCGGAAGGAGCGGGGGAGGCCCCTTACGCAAACTACAATTCCCGGCGGGGAGCGCGATGAAGGGGGGCGGGATCTGAACATGGCGGCGGTGGTAGCTGCTACGGCGCTGAAGGGCCGGGGGGCGAGAAATGCCCGCGTCCTCCGGGGTAAGGAGAGGGACCCCGGGGAGGGTAAAATTGCAGGAGATCCTTTGTCTATCACATTGCCCGGCTGTTTCAGGAAGTCAGGGCTGCCAGTTCCTCCCCACACCTCTCTTCATAATCTTTAAAGAGTCTGGGGGTGAAAGATGCTCAGTAGAGGTCACCCCGTTCATTTGTCTGCGTTCGGCTTACACGACACTTCAGGGGTTCTGTAGCAAACGAGAGGCCTGAGACAGTCTTTAGACTCCCGCGCTCCAGGTGTTTTACACTCACCGCAGTGCAGAGGGAAGAGCCCATAGCTTCTGGAGGCTTGGATTCTAGCCCTGGGTCATAAACAGTCTGACCTTGGGCGAAGCTGTTCGTCTCTCAGCGCTTCAGTTTCCTCTTCTATAACAAGAGGGAATGGAGGAGACTGCCTTTAAGCTTCTTCCCCCTGCCAAAATTCTGTAGTTTTAAAAACCTTCCCCGGATTTCCTTCGTACGCCTTGTATGAGTCCCTCTGCAGTCCTTCTCATCCTGTCGTCTGAAACGAAGAACAGCGAAGCTCGCTCTCCTGGAACCAGGTTGATGAGCCCACAGTGACGTGGAAGTGGCATCCAAAGGTGTCACCTCGATGGCGATTTTCCCATTTCCCTATGGATTCTCCTAGCACTTGTTACCCCAAACTGCAATAACTCCCTTTCCTTATATCTCAGCTGCTCCTCCCCAACCCTTAAACCTCCTACCGACTTTTTCATCTCCCGTGCTGACCTTCCTTACCTTCATCCACAGGGATCCTCTCGGGAGCCACAGCTAACAAGGCCTCTCAGAACAGGACCAGAGCTCTGCAAAGCCACAGCTCCCAAGAAGGCAAGGAGGAACCTGAGCCCCTATCTCCTGAGCTGGAGTACATTCCTAGAAAGAGGGGGCGGAACCCCATGAAAGCTGTGGGACTAGCCTGGTGAGTTGTAACTATCTTTTTCTCCACCAATACCAGTACACCCAGAAGTGGGCAGGACTCTTGAATTTCTCGAAGTTTCACCGGATGAGCTGAATCCAAGGTTGTGCAAACAGTATTGCTGGGTTCAAGGAATGAAATCTCAGGAGTGGAGAAGGGGAGGTCAAAAAAATGAATTGGGGGGACTGGGGATTTAGCTCAGCAGCATAAGCGCCTGCCTTGCAAGCAGGCAGTCATGAGTTCGATCCCCGGTACTGATAAAAAGACCAAAAAAAAAAATGAATTGGGGAGACTGGGTTTTTTGTTGGGTGAGCTGATCTGGTCTGATTTCTGTTTGGGTCCCTGGCTTCATCTTCCCTCTTGAGAGCTTAGAGTGAGGACCAAATCCCAGTAATTAGCTAACTGAGATCATGTGAAGTTATATTAGTTGTGTAGTAGCTAGAAATTGTTTCATATGTTGTTCTTTGGTTCTGGTTCTGGCCTTAGTACATATTATTGGTCAATATTAAAGGAAAAGGAGGCAGTACTTTACCATGTACAGTAATATTTTAGGCCTTCTGAGACAAATACTACACCCACCCACCCATGGAGAAGGGAAGTGAGACTCAGGTGGAATTCACAGTGGGTCTTCTGATTGTGCTCTTTCTGCCACAGCAAGGCAACCCCTGCTAACAGTTACTCAGATTAAGAGGAAGAAGCCAGACACAGTCATGCATGCCCATAATCCCAGCACTCCAGAGACTGAAGCAAGAGGATCATGAGTCTGGGAGGGGATATGGAGCAATATAGATAAACTTTTTCTCTGACTCGCAGAAGAAAAGAGGCTGGTCTGCCTGAAGAATCATGCACAGGCTACACTGGGCCTTTTGGGCCATACCTAAGAGTTTGAACTTAGCCAGGAAGGGATGGATGGAGAGCTGTTATGGGTCCTTAAGCAGGACAGTAACAGGATCTGCTTTGCCCAAGTCCCTCCCAGCACGGAGGACTAGTAGATAAAAGGTGTCCCAACATTTGCACAATTGGCAAAGCTAGAATGACTCCCCCAAGCTCCTCTGGCTCTAGCCCAGCCCTTTCCCAAACCCCATGCACATCTCCCACCCCTAGGGCCATCGGCTTCCCCTGTGGTATCCTCCTCTTCATCCTCACCAAGCGGGAAGTGGACAAGGACCGTTTGAAGCAGATGAAGGCTCGGCAGAACATGCGGGCATCCAACACGGGCGAGTATGAGAGCCAGAGGTTCAGGGCCTCCTCCCAACATGCCCCATCCACCAAAGTTGAGTCCGGGGAGCAGGCCTGAGGAGCATTGCCACCTCTGCTAGACTGCTTTTTAACTGAAGTCCTCCGGTTTGGCCATTATAGTCCTTGCCTCTGAGAACCACCAGAGGGCGCCTGAAGCCCAGGCTGCTGCCAGCTCCTGCCCCTCCCACACAGAAGAGTCTGCCCTGAGCAAATAAAGTTATTGAGTGTTTGGGAAGGAAACAGATCAGGGTTTCTAAGTCTCTGGGGAGGGGAGGAGCAGTGGGTGGTGCCGGTTACTCACTCTTGCTCCATCCCACAAAAGAGCAGTGTTTCTGGCAGGACGGTGGGGCAACTGCAGATCTGTGTTCAACAAGCTTAGGCTGGACCTGGGGGACCAAGCCCTCAGAGCTGCTGCTCAGGAGGGTGGGGTTCCAGTCAGCCTTGAAACAAGTAATGGAATCAAAAGGCAGCATTCAGGATGTGGCAGCAAACACACTTACAGCTGGGTCCAAATGATTCCACCTCCTCAGGCCTCAGGTTCCTCATTCATAAATGACTGAACTAATGATTTCTGAGATTGTGAATTTGTGGTCTATGCCCTCCTCCACTGGCAAAATTGTATGTGTATATACAGCCCTCCCCCCCACCCCTTGAATCAGGGGTTGAACCAGGGCCTTCACCTTGAGCTACATTCCCTACATTCCCAGCTTTTTAAAAAAAATTCTGAGACAAGTTTCTGTAAGTCACCAGGTTGCCCCGATGACTTGTGATCCTCTTGCTTCGGCTCCTGAGTCACTGGAACCTCAGGGGGGGTGTGTCCCCACCCCCAGCTATACATGCACCTTCACAGGGAAGGGGGGGACAAGCTCTCCTGAGCTTTTGTAGAGGGTCCACAGCACGAAAGTGGTCAGGCACTGTGGCTCTGGTGAGGTCGCCTCTGAATCCTTCCCCAGCCAAGTGTCAACCTTCAGCAGCTTGTTGCATCCATCACTGAGAAAAGGTGCGATCAAGTACATGAGGTTACCCCAGAACAGGTGTGAGAGAGGAGAGAGGGCTGAGGATCTCGCATTCCCCAGCCCTGGGAGGTTCCACACCCAATAGGGGAAAAAAGAAAGGAGTTAGGAGAAGGAAGCCAGAATGGATGCTTTGGGCACAGCCAGCCAGATACGCCCAGAGCCACCTTAGGGAAGAAAACCAGAGCCACTCAAGGATTGAACTTCTAAACATAAAACTTTATTATATTACTAGCTGTGTCCCTTTGTGTGATATATTTAGGGTCAGTAGAGAAGGCATAATTACACTTTGGGCTGACCTAATTTCCACCCAATACACTGACCCTGTCCCCTCCCGGACTCCAGCAGAGGCATTTATATTACAAAGAAGGCAGTGGTTGGCTGGAGAGGCAGGGCTGGTGCTGAAAATCCCCCAGCCTTGAGTTCAGAACAGACTCAGACAGAGTCACCTCTTGTGCAGGGCCCTTCCTAGGCTGCCAGAAGGAAAAGACACAGAAGTTTTCTTGGAGTTCAGAGTTTCTCAGAGCAGTTGGGAGACTTTAAGGCTTTTTCTCTGCCCCGACCCCCATCTCAGCTTTGCTCCTTCCTACCACACTCATGAGCCTACAAACCACCCTGTTTCTTAACTGTTGCCCTTCACGTTCTGCTCCAAGCACCTAAGCAGAGAAAGCAAGAGCTTCTGAGCAGCAATCAGAAGCCCCGAGGCAGACCACAGGCAGCTTTGGAGAATGGACCAGGTGGCTCCAGTAGCCTGCTCTGTACCATCCGAGCCTGCAGCAAGCCCAGGGCAGATGCTCTGCCCCTATACTTTATGTGTTCATTCTTCCTCCCCCACCCACAGCCAGATAAGCAACATACATGTGTTACTGAAACAAATGGGGGTCAAGTGGGGAGACCTCTTCTACCTTCCTGGCTGAAAGGTGCCAAGCCCAAGGAATGTAGGATAATGGCCCCCTAATCCACGAACTGGGCACAAGCTGTGTGGCTCTGGGTTCAGGAGGGAAACTGCTCCAGTTCCCTAGTCTAGAAGCCCATGACAAGGTGGGAAGGGCAGTGCTTCACACTTCTGCCACTCACAGTCCCTTTCAGCTAAAGACCAGGCTCCTTTCACACACCACACTGCAAGACTTTGATGCCATGCCATGGGCAGAGGGAAGAAGGCACGCCCTCAGGCTGGTCCCCGGCAGGCCCACCAATGGCAAGAGTTCTCTGCTCCTCCAGTCCAGCAGTAGAGGCCACCTGGCCTCACGACTAAAGGAAACTGGGCATATTACTTGAGGGGAAGGAAAGGGGTGTCAAGCCCAGGCCTCTAGAGAAGGGAGAACTCAGGGTGGGTGGAACCAGGGTGCTCCTCAGTTGCGATCCCCCACCAGCTGCAGCACAAAGGTGAAGATGTAGACAATGTCTGTGTAGATCTGCAGGGCACCTGTGATGTAGTCCTCAGGGCTGATGGTGTGCTTCCGGTTCCCCAGGACCAGCTGTGTGTCATAAGCCAGGAACTGCGGGATAAGGAGGTCAAAAATAAGCACCTAAGGGCTTAGTGGCCCCAGGGTTGTGCTGCAGCCCGTGTGCCATGCAGTGTGGTTAGGGGACTGGTTAATGAACAATGTGACACATGGCCTCTAGCCACAGACGTCACTGAGGCTGATGTACTGTCACCTCTAAAAGGCCTGCTAAGCCTTCTAACAGTAGGCAGTGTGAATGGGAGATGGGAAATGCCCAGGAAGTCACTGGAACATACCAAGGGGAGAGGAAGGACAGCCTATGCCCCTTCTCAAGTCCCAAGCCACCTAAATTCTTCACCTTCCACTCCCCCTCTAGAGCCAGGTAAGGACTTACCAGAGTGAAACAAATGGCCCCAATAGCAGCGTAGACCATGTGAAGCCAGTAAATCTGGAAGTGAGAGAGACAGATTAGAAATCTCTGAGCAAAGCACATCTTGGGGAGGCCCCCTGAGACTCGGCTAACCCCTAGGATTTGGGGACTGGAGTAGGCAAATCCAGGAAGCCAGTTCTCAGATCCTGATCGTATCATGCCTTTCTAGGCCCTGGAAGGAATTAAGAATGGTGATATCTTTGGCAGAGAAGGCATAAGCCATCCTACAGTGGCACATAATACCAGACATGGCATCTTTTTGCCACAACTTCTAGAGCTAGTCAAGGAACAGAGGTGTCTGCCATACTTCTGGAAAAAGAGGCGGCAACTGAGTGGCAACTGGTAGCTCTGGAGGACAGACCCAGCACGCACTGGCTGCAGGGCCTCGTAGACTTCCCCTAAGTCAAGGTGGGTGCTCAGTAGAGCATGTGCAGCCAGAATCTGGGCTCTTGCAGCTCTCCTGGGGGAGGGAGGAGACAGCCTAAAGAAGAGTAGCAAGAGAAGCACTTGACCACCCTGGCCACCCTCATAACTGGGGGGCAGCTCTGCCCAGTCCTCCGGGTGCCCGTTTATGGAAGGACAGGGCTGGCCCACGGTCAGGTGGGCAATGGCTCTCTGTCCCCAGCTTTCCCCCAATAGCACTGTTCTCCCTGGCCAGGGAGCCCATGTTCTCCCTCAGTAGCTGGAACCAAAGACTGAATCAATCCCAGTGACCCCCGAACTCTCTTCCATCCAGGCCCATCTTCTCCGATCAGGATCCTTTCCCAGAACCCAATCTTAACTGTCAGACCTAATCTACTAGGCGACACTGTCCAGGTGTCACAGCCCCCAGGACCCTTTGTCTCTAAAGAGAGATCGACTATACCCCAACCCAAAAATACGGCACTTCCATGCTGGTACCTTTGCTAACCAGTGGGGAGATTCCAGGGCCCTGACCTGCCCAGGGGCCCTGGGTCCCAGTGGGGGCCCCTTCTCTCCAGGAAGCCTGCAGTGAGCATTGGCTTCACCCACCCGACCCGTCACGTGCACTCACATATTTGAAGCACAGCACAATGCTAGTGACAATCCCAGTCACCATGAGTACAATTCCCAGGACACAAAAGAGGCCTGCACATGAGGTGAAGTCCACCTGCCAGGGAGGGAGAAGGGCTACCTGTCAGATGACTGTCACAACCAGCGGCCCAGCCAGTCTGGCTCTGCCAGGCAGCCCCAGTACTGCCTCCTGTGGGCAGGGGAGTGGCCACAACCTGCCAAGGACAGACCGGCAGCAGATGTGTGGGTGCAGATATGAGCAAAAAGGGACTCAGTCTCCAAGGAAGACTCCAGGGATCCAGGGCTCTGGCCCCTCCCAGGCCTGCTCACATGCCAACCCTCCACGCCCTCACCTTAGTCTGAAAGCAGAAGATGGTGACAGAGATGGACACCACGGCAGTGATGATCGCAGCGATGATGACGGCTCTGGTTTCGTACATACTGGGAGGAGGGAGGAGTTCAGAGAGACCAGAGACATAAGCAACATAAAAGTAACTTCAAACTCCCTGCCTCCAAAAGCAGCCCACCCAGAATCCACCTCTGAGAGCACTGGCAGCCCAGGCACACCCAGCACCCATGACACACTTCCCGAGAACACACTTCCCGAGAATGTGACGAACTGTCCTTGAAAGTACCTGGAAATGGTGCCCGTCATGAAGCCCATGGCCAGAGTCTAGGGAAGGAGAGAAATGAGGAAGACACTGGAGAACAGCAGGGGCGGAAGTGCGATGCAGTGAGCAAACACTTGCCCAGCACATGCCTGGCCCTGGGTTCAGCTCCCAGCCCCACAGGCAAACAGAGAAAAGAAACGGAGAGGGAAGGGGGCAGGGCAGGGCAGGGCAGGGCAGGGCTGCCAGTGGGGCTCGACCAGTGTCCTGCTGCAGCTGGGCACAGATGAGATGTACTGGAAAGAGGCGGCCAACGGAAGAGACCACGAGCATGCCATCAGGGTAAAGTGGGGAGACCCCAGGCCAGCCCCGAGCAGCACTCTGCACTTACGAAGATGCTCAGCAGGATAATGTTCCATGGGAACCGGCGTCTGAGGAGACAGGGATACAGGTCTTAGGGCGAGGGGACGCCGATGTGGCATGTGGCACCTGCTCAGGTGTTCACACAGGGACAGGGTGGGGCAGTGGGGCAGACCTGTGCCTCGGAGTTGAGACCAGGACTTGTTCTCAGCTCTCACACTGAGTACTGTGTGACTGTGAGAAAGCTGTCCAGGGTCTCTGAGCCTTGCATGCTTCTTATTTCCTTTTCCCTTCCGTCCCACCCGTGGTTTTCTTTTTTTCCTCCTAACCCCTCTCTCTTCATTGCTGTATGTTACATGGTTAAAATGCTACACATCTTTTTTTTTTTTTTTTATTGGTACCAGGGATTGAACTCACGACTGCCTGCTTGCAAGGCAGGCACTTGTGCTGCTGAGCTAAATCCTCAGCCCCTAACGCTACACATCTTGCAGGCTTGCTGTGAGCATGACAGCTAGATAAATCCTGCACACCACACTTTGTACACACGGGGACAGCAGCCATTATCATCACTGTGACCACCACTACCAGTATATTTTTAGGGTTGTTTTGAGACAGGGTCTCGAGGTGTGGTTCAAACTAATTTTGAACTCTCTTTGTAGCCCAGGCTGATCTTGAACTTGTAGTAATCCTGCGTTAGCCTCCCAGGTGCTCCCAGGTATACGCCATCGCCCCTGGACTGTTACAGTTTTTAAAGTAAGAGTCTTGCTTTGTAGTCCAGGTTGCCCTTGAACCATCTTTATAGCCCAGGTTAATGTCAAACATGGACTCCTCCTGCCTCAGCCTACCACCAGTATTTCTCATCAGTCTCCATTTAATCACTGTAAAGAATCCCTTTTCTTACCAACATCCTTGGCCGTTGTCTCACCCAATGCCTTCCCCTTTGTCTATGCCACTAGCACTCACCTGGGCCCCTGGCAGCAGGCAAGGACCAGGTAGGTGACAAGGAAGACGACACTAGGGAGAAAGAGGGGGACATGGTCTACAGGCCACAGCTGCCCTCAGCCCATGTCCAGCCCATTGGGGCAGCATTCATCAGACCCAGGGAGGCCCAGACAGCTGTCCAGCACTGTGGACAAGCCACTCAGGGAAGCAGGGACAAGATCATCCCAGCCAGGGGCACTGAGCAGCTTGGCGACAGGTTGAGGCCTGGAAGGAGCCTGACGATCCTGCTGCCCCCTCCCTGAGGTGTCTTGTGAACGCATGCCACCACGCTCCTCTGCCCAGACACCTGGAAGACCACCACTGGCCCCTGGCAGGGCCCCTTTCAAAAAGCATTTGACCCCACCCTGAGCACAGCGGGTCAGGTGGACCTGAACTTGCCAGCCCCAATTCCCCTGCTCAGCTGAGTGACAACGGCCACACACTCACTAGGATGCATAATACACAGCCACGTTTTTCCTCACGAACTTGCCGACAGGTTCCCTGTGGGGCAGGGAGGACAAGGGCAGAGTCACACAGGGCTGACCTGCCCTCAGCCCCTGGCCACGGTCCCCCAGCCTGTGACCCAGGCCAAAACTCACACAAAGGTGAAGACAGCAATGATGGCCACTGTGACGAGCAGCTGCACGGAGATGATGCTGTAAACCTGCAACACGGATGGCCGGCAGGGGTCACCTCCCACATGCTGGCCTTTCCCCAGAAGCAGCAGCCAGCCTGGGGCCCAGGAGCCCTTTCCCCTTCCTGTTCCTTCAGTGGTAAAGGGGGTAGGTTGTTCATTTTGAGGGCTGTGAGCCCTCAAGAGCGCCTCCCGCTGCACTAGGAACACAGTGAAGGACCTGGCTCACACGCCATCAGCTGCCCTTCTTCCTGTCCCCCTCTGCCTGCTCCTTGGCGCCTCCCACTGTCCAGCATTTGCTCAGTTTACTGCCCTGCACCACCAGCCACGGCTCTGCTGCCACAGCAGCTGTGCATCTGTCTGTTCCAAGCAGGAGTTGCGAGATGGAAGATAGGAAGGGTGGGTCGGGTGCAAGTACAACCGCCTCACACAGCTGCCTGGGGTCCAACAGGACAGTGGCCCCTGGGGAGGGCAGAGCATCTGGACAGAGCCCAGGAAGATTCCCCCAGATTGCCTCTGCCCTCCTAAAATAAGGTCAGGGTGTACCTGGAGCTGACTCAGCCAGCCCTCCCGACCCCCACAGCCTGAGGGCCCGGTCCAGCGTCCCTCAGCCTCCCAGCTCTGATCTTACCTTGCGGATGAAGGCATGTCGGACTTTCCGGTCATCCCACTCTCCAGGCCCAAAGCTGTCACTCACTGCTCTTTCCTCTCCATCATAGCCCTGGCCTGGGCCTAAGGACAGATCACATAGGACTAACTGAGGACCTGGAACATGTGGCCTGCATTCCAGAGCTTCCCTAACACCCACCCAAACAAAGGCCCATGCTTGTAATCCTAACTCCTTGGGAGGCTGAGGCAAGAAGATTGCAAGTTCAAGTTCAGCCTTGGCTATTTAGCAAGACCCTGTCCCAAAAATTTAAAAGAGGCTGTAGTGCAGTGGTAGACATGAGACCCTGGGTTCAATCTTTAGTATAAATTAACTAATTAAAAAATCAAAGATCCAGCCAAAAGATAAGTGTTATAACACAAGAACTGCTCCTTCGAAGCTAGGGTCATTAGTGGCATGGCAGGAGGGGACTTGGGTAACAGCCACTCCATCAGCATGAATCTCTTCAGGGCTCTGCGCCCAGCCCCATGCCATGAGGGTAGAGAAATGGTATCTTGATCAAGCAGGAAGTAAGGCAAGAGTGGGGCTGACTGGTGGAGAAAAGGCCAGGACTGCTCAGGGCCACATGCAGGGCAGGGCAGGGCAGGGCAGGGCTGGGCCAGGCCTCAGGACAATAGGTCTGTCAGGGCATGTGCCACTTGCATGTGTAAAGAGCCATACCAGCGCGTGCATGCCCAGCACTCTGGGCTGCAGACACTCCAAGAATGCTGTCCACAACCACCCAGGAGGGGATCTGGGGGCGCACATGCCAGACATCTGAGAAGCTCTATATCCCAGCACCCAAAAATTGAAAAGGAAAGTCCTTCCAGAAAGAGGCTCAGTTGTGTGCTAATTGGCCCCATTTCTGACCTGCTACCATATTTACACCAAAGGTGGTTCCAAATGGCTTTGGAATGTTTACAAAAATCAGGCTTTACCTGAAGGATGATGGTTTGTCAGTTCCAAGAACCTTATTTAAAAAACAAAACAAACAAACAAAACTGCAGAGGCAGTTCCTAAAGAATGCAAGGCACCAGGTAGGATGGGGTGGCAGCCGCCTTGCTTGGGAAACAAACAGTCCCTTAGGTGACTGCTTGCAGCTGTTACTTCCCCTGCCACCCTTCTGTGTGTATAAGCTGCAGTAATGGTAACGTCACATGGACTGTCCCTTGCTGAATAAAGGGGTTAGCCAGGGGCTGGGATGGGGTGACAGGAGCAGAAGGATGGAGCAGGGAGGTAAGACAGACAGGAGATCTAAGCAGAGAACAGGAGGTTAAAGGGAAGGGTGACGAGAGAGGAAGAAAAGGGGTTGCGCTCCTAGACCCTGGAGCAGCTTCCTTTGTTCCACCCACCAGCCACCCTTCTGGGACTCACCATAATTCATGGGCATCGGGTGGACGGGGGGCATGGGCTGCGGGTAGCCAGCAGGGTGACCGTAGCCAGGCTGTGGGTAGGGAGGGTAGGCGGGGTACCCACCTGGCAGCACAGATGGCTGCCCATAGCCCCCTGGGGGTGGAGGGCCAGGGTATAGGGGGTTGCGGTCTTCATACGGAGGGGGGGCAGTGGGGTTGGACATGGCAGCTCAAGGGCTGAGGGGGAACCTCAGCCGCTGGGACCTGAAAGAAAAAAAAGCAGTCATGAGTGCCGGCCTGGCTTATGCAGCACTGGTTTCATACTGCCCGAGCACACTCAGGTGGAGAACTTCCCTCCCAGTCTGTCTCTCTCTGGTGCCCGAATTTGTGTCACCTGCTCCTGCAGGCCCAGCTCCTGACCACCTGTGCTCACACCTGCTCATCTGGGGCCTCTCTTCCCTGCCACGGGAAAGCAGAGGATTCATTAGGCACCCAGGGTCACACCGCTGAGCATCACGGGTATGACAGACTAGCAGGGCAGCTCAGCACTCCCTGTGCCCATTTCAGAGATGAGAACCTCCCCATGGGTAGCTAGACAGCAGAACCAGGAAGAAGCTAGATGGCCCTGGCACGGCCTCCTCGTGAGTCACAGTACCAGCTGGGACCCTCCGGAGGGCTCAGCCCAGCCCCCATGGCAGCTGGCAGGAGTCTGAGAGCTGGAGCTGGGGCACAGCTGAGAGCAGGGAGGAGGCTGTGGGATGGTGGCAGGCGGAGTCAGGACCTGCAGGCCACACAGGGCAGGCCTGAGACGGGACTTTGGTTCCCTCAGAACAGCTGCGGCAGCCCCGTCGCCTGCTCTTTTCACTGGCTGCTTGAGGACTACAGCTCAGAAGGGGAGACTGGGCGTGGTGATTTCTGCCCAGGGACGGTGGCTAGCAGGGAGCAGTGGAGCAAGCTGAGAGGCCCTACAGGCAGTGGGGACCTCTGCAGCTCCCCAGTTCTGAGTGCTGCATTTCAGATGAGAGAATCAGGCCCAGAACAGTGACATGATTCCCAGTGGCATAGCCAGAGTGGAGCCCTAGGATCCTGACACCTTCCTTTATGTATGTCTCCTTGCTGAACAATGTCCCCCTGGCCTGGTGTCCCCTTCTGAGGTGACAGAGACGAGAAGAGCTAAGAAGGAGGCTTGCGCCCTTCCAGAGACAGGACCAAGCCCTGCCTAGAGCCTTACCCAGGGGCAGACTTGAGGACCCCACGGGGAGAAACCACAGACTGAGGTGGTAGCCACCCTCACGACCTCTGCTGGAAGGAGCCCCAGCTTCCCTCTGTGGGGCACCCTGCACAGGCCAGGGATGGCATAAAGACTGCCTTATGCTTCTCCCAGGACAACTGAGGTAACTCAGGGGGGGCAGGTGGCCTAGATAGAATAGCAGGCCAGGTCTCTGAATGGGTTAGTTGAGGAAAGCCGCTTTCCATGTCCCCAGAGTAGAAGGGACAGAAGTAGTCAGGTCAGAAAGAAGCCCCACCCCACACAGAGGGGTGAGGGGCAAAACAGGGCAGGAGAGAGCTGTGAGGAGCCAGTGCCACCAGAAGGGGACACAGAGGACCTGGTGCCAGGGCATGCAGGGAAGGGCCAGGCAGGGCACCATGAGCTCGAGGCAAGGGCTTGGTCACTGCTTTCAGATGTCTGGGGGAAACATCCTGGGTAGGCAGAACGTATGAACCCCTTCATAGAACAAAGGAAAGGAGGAGAAAGCAGACTCTTCACCAGGAGTGCGAGGCCCCTTCTCCCTAAGTCACATACCTGCCCTTCCAAGGCACCCTTTGACAGCACAGAAGGGAGGAAGGGGTACAGCACAGGTTACCTTGGAGTAGGCATGTCTGTTACTATGCTGATACAGTGAGTTTTTTTTAAAGTGGTACCAGGAATTGAGCTGAGAGCATCACGCTTGCCAGGCAGGCACTGTGCCAATGAGTTGTATCCCCAGCCCTGTGTGTCACTATGGCCATCACCATGGCATTTTCAGGTCCACTATCTGGGTGGTGGCACATATGATCGGCTGACCAGACCCAGGGCACACTGGCCAGAAAGGCCCTATGGTCAGAAGCCACCAAGCCATGATGTCACCCTTGCCTGACCCTTTACCTCTACAAGTACACTGTGATGAGCAGAGCACACTGTGACGGGCCAGGACCCAGGCCACCTGGGCAACTGCCCACTCACCCAGAACTAACGTAGCCCTTCCTTCCCAGACCGAGGGGGCTGCAGGGCCATGGAGTGAAGTGTGACTCATAGAGAGCAAACCCTGCCACCTCTGATAGCCACCCCAGCCCAGCAGGATGCTGAGTCACTCTGCCCTGTCACACTTCTGGTTTCTGAGGAGGCAGACAGCAGACCTGCCTGCTGGTACACAGCAGCTTCCGGGCCAACTGTCTGGAGGCTGGACCGCCAGCCTGTCCACACCACAGACTACCACTGAGCACTGCACCTTGCTATGCCTCAGGTCTTCAGGTGGAAGATGGGTTTAACACTGTTAATAGGCCGGTAACCCTAGCATTTGGGCAGCTGAGGCAGAAGAATTGCCAACCTGGGCTACATACTGAATTCAAGCCAGTCTGGACTGCATAGTGAGACCCTGTCTTAAAAAAGAAACTAGTAATAGTAACCCCCAGAAAGTTGTAAAAATAAAAGGTGAGCCAGCTATGTTGGTGCAAGTCTGTAATCCCAGCATTGTGGGAGGCTGAGGCAGGAAATTAGAAAGGCTGAACCCAGCTTTGGCAACCTAATGACTTAGCAAAACATTATCTCAAAATAAAAAAGGGCTAACTCTGTTTAAAGACAAGAGTTCAATTTCTAGTACCAAAATAACAATAATAATAATAATAATTCCCAGCATTCTGAGGCAGGAGGATGGCAAGTACTATCCCAGGATGGACAACCTACTGAAACCTTGTCTCAGAATTTAAAAAAGAAAAGCTACTGTGATCCCAGCACTCACAAGGCTGAGACAGGAAGATCAGAGGCCAGCCTGAACGACATAGCAAGCTCAGTACAACACATAATACAGTAATGATAATATAAAAAGGAAAAGAACTGGAACCAGGCATGCTGCTGCATGCCTATAATGCCGGCACTCTGGAAGGCTGAGGTAAGATCACAAGTTTGAGGCCAGCCCAGACATGTATCATAACAAAAACTAAGAAAAGACTGGGTTGTAGCTCAGTGGTAGAGCCTTGTCTAGCATGTGTGAGCCCCTGAGGTCCATCTCCAGTACAACAAAGAAAGAAAAAGGGAAAAATTAAGAGAAAACACACAGAGTAGGCTGGCCCCTGATAAACAGACAGCCATTAACTATTTTCAGTTATTATTTCATGAACTGCTTACGGGGTGAATGCTGATATTATCCCCATTCACGAAGACACCAAGGCTTAGATGAATGAAGTCCCTTGGCCAAGGTGCCCTTGCTAGGATTGATGAAGTCAGGACTCAGGCCCAGCACTGACCCCAAAGCCACGCTGAGTCCCTCACATTCCTATCTAAACTGCTCTTCCCTCTCCCTGTGGCTTCCTGCGGAGCCCTCCTCAGGACAGGAAGTGCAGGGCACTGACGCCCAGGCAGGCAGCCTGCACAGTGGCAGCAGCCCAAGGGCCAGGCTGAGACAGAGACTCAAAAGGGCAGAGCTGAGGAGCTGGTTCCTCCTCTTTCTGACCAGAAGCCCCTGTGTAAGCAGTGGCCTATCCTTGCCACAGTGGCTGTGGGGCCAAGAGGCGACCCTAGCTATCTGGTGCACAGTCCTAGGGCAGGAGAATTGGGTGCCTCCACTGTACTGCCTTCCCCTGAGCCGTGCCAAGGAGAACCCTGGCCAGGAGAAGCCTCTGGGACCCAGACTCCCGGGGGTTAGCAGCTCTTGCACGTGGTACAGCTCCTGGCCAGCCTGCATGGGGTCCTGCCACTCCACATCACCTACTGATGACTGGGGCCTGCATGCCTGGGAGAGGGAAGAGCTGGAGAGGAATGAGGCTAGGAGGCAGGAGAGAAAGGGCAGAGGAGAGGGAAGACAGGGCCATGGGACAGAAGCCTAGGGCAGGTCCCATGTTCTGAAGGTAGCTGTTGGAAGCCTCAGTATCCAGGGGCTCACTCCCCCTGAAGCCTGAATTTCCCTCTGATACAGAACACATTGTACTTCGGCTTGAACACATACCAGTGATGTGAAGTCTGTTTGCCCATCCTGTCTGCAGGCAGCTTGAATCCTTAGAACACTCTTCACCCCCCACCACCTGCCATCAGAATGTGCAGCAACTCAGTGTGCTCTGGTCTCTGGGGAAGCCATTGACCCCTACCTCACACAGGGCCTCTCCCAGACCCAGCCAGGGAGCAGGAAGGTGGACTCTAGGCCCGAACAGCGGGATTCGCTGGTGGCCCAGGCTTTCACAGGCAGCGCTGAGGAACCATCTCCCCTCTGGGACACTGTCCCTGCCTGCGGGGTGATCCAGGCTCTAGCTCTCCCGGGCTTACAAAGGGTTAAGACTCTGGAATCTGCTGAGGAGGCCAAGCTACTGGGGTTACAGTGAGAGGGTGTGTGTGTGTGTGTGTGTGTGTGTGTGTGTGTGTGTGTGTAAGGGAGGGCAGAAGGAGTAGCTGACTGGTCCAGGCAGCCTGTTTTCCTCCCTGCCAGGAACGGGTGCCCAGAGCAGAATGGAAAGAATAGCTCAGAGTGCGCATCTCAGGAAGCCCCACCCGCAGGCCAGCGCAAGGCCTGGCTGGTGCCCAGCTCCCCACCCGCCCCAGGGAAGCGCTCCCACATGTCCACTATCTGCAGGGCAGCAGCATGAGACAGGTGTCCAGAGGGTCACCAGGCCTGATCCTGGACCCCAGGGCCTACAATCCACCCAAATACCCTGCAGCTGGCCTAGCCTTTCAATTAAGAGATGGTGGGGGCAGTGTCCAAAAACTGAAATACTGGGGCTGGAATGGACGTCATCTGGTCATTTGACAAAGCAGGAAACCTCAGAGCCAGAAAGTTCCTCTCCCACCCCACACAAGCCCTCTTGGTCATGGGTTTGGAATTTACCTTCCCTGCCCTGGCCACCATCTAAGAACTCAGAAACAAGCACACACCCCTGGAGGTGGAGCCCCATGAGCCACCCTTTCCCCCAGTTCTTTCAAAATCTCTGGTCACAGTGACAACCCATGGCTTCTCTCCCTCAGGGCTAAGCCACCCCTCCCAGCCTCTCTAGCCAGGGGAACCTCCCTGTATCCATGGAGACGGGGCTGACTGCCATCTCCAGGGGAGCATGGAAGTACCCAGCACCCTCTTCCCTGGGAGCAGAACTGTGTCATCAGGACTTAACCTCAGAGACCCCAGCCATATTGGTAGTCAGGGAGCTCAAAGGGGAAGCCGTCAACAGAACTGATGCCACCTCTGAAAAAACCCCTGCCACTTCTTTGGGTTTCAGCTCTCCTGACTTCCAGGACAGACATTAACAACCAGAACCGAGAACTGCAGGTGGGCAGAGATAGGAGGGAACCACTTAGAGGATAAGTACCAGCGGTACTTACTAAGCAACTAGGTAGCAACTAAGATGCCTCTCCTGACAAAGACCTCACTGCCAGTAAGAAAACAAGTGGAGAGAAAAACAATTGAAGCCCCACAGCAGAGGTTTGAACCTAGAGCTGATGTCTGACTTTGAAGTGCAAACGCTGTACCTTAACATCTTGTTGAAAAGCAGCCTTTGAGGCACCAAGGCCAGGGATGAGTAGTGAAGATCACAAGTGGCAGGGAGGAGCCCAGCAAGTGTTAGTTGATACCCATCCCTCTTCCCATTGAAAATTCATCTGGTGCCTGTGCCTAGTTAGGAGACAGGGACCTGACCTGATGCCCGTCCTGACTTTGGTACTGACCCCAGAATTGGAATAGGCCCCTGGCTATCTGTTTTTGCATATCTAAAGTAACTGTCCTGAATGGAAAGATCATAGTCCACTCCAGCTCTGCCAGTTCCTGACTCTGAATAAATAGACTACTGGATCAGAAAGAAGGCTTAAGGCAGAACATGCATCCTAAGGGGGCACTGCTCATGTGCTCTGGTCTAGAGGCAGGGGTGCCTGGCATGTCCTGGGTATGAGGGTGGCCATATCTCCCTCCCCTCCCAAACTGTCCCCATGATGGCCCCCGGATCTCCCAGGGAATACTGCCTGAGTGCTCACCCTCCCCAGAGCCTGCAGAGACACTAGGAAAGAAAGTACTCAGTGCCAAGTATGGTGGAACCCGGAGGCTGAGGCAAGAGGATCACAGGTTTTAGCCCCACCTGGGAAATCGGATGACTTACCAAGATCCTGTCTCAAAACAAAAAATAAAAGGTGGGCATGGTGGTGCATCCCTGTGACCCCAGCACTCAGGAAGCTGAGGCAGGAGGATCAAACCAGCCTGAACTACATAGCAAGATCCTGTCTCAAAACAAAACAAAAGTGCTAGGGATGTAGTTAACTGTGAGGGCTGTGGGTTCATTCTTAGTATCACAAAGAGAAAAAAAAAAAAAAGCACCCAAGGCTGGAGTGAAGAGGCCTAGGCTCATTAGCTAGCTGTGGGAATCCAAGCAGATGGCCTCCCTGGCTCCCGTTCCTCTAAGGCAGCCGACACACAGGAGAGGAGCACAGACCCATTTACAGGAACCATAGAGAGACGAGAATCACCTGGCCGTATCTCTCTGAAGCCCTTCATGGCACAATCTTATCTCCTTCCTGGAAAGTTACAAGGCCCAGTGGCATGTTAAGGCCCTGGAAGGTTTTGCCCTGTTCAAGTCAGTTTAACTCAGCACTCATCCAAACTTCTGGGCACACCTGTCCATAGCCTATGGCTGCTGACCCAGACTACCTGTTTACAGACCCAACACAAAAATCCTAACTCATTTCTTAAAACCATGTATTTCTGGGCTGGGCATTTAGCTTAGTGGCTCAGGCACTTGCCTGGTAAGCACAAGGTTGTAATGTGAATTCAGTGCCCAGTGCCAAACAAAACACAACACGTATTTCTACCCAGTCTGCTCCTTGGAGCAGTTATAGTAAGAACCTGAGGGGTTTTTTGTTGTTGCTTTTCCTTTATTCCAAATCCATTTTATTTCAAGGAGAAAAAAGAAAAAAAACCCTAAAACATACAATAGCCTACTCAATAAATAAAATCAAACAAACATTTCTAAAAAAGAACGTGGCATGTGCCCTCTAGGAGAATCCGCTCAATATCAGGACCCACTACAGGGTCCTCCCCCACTTCCACATAGCTGCTACTGTAACCTCCACAATGGCAAGGAAGAAATCTCCAGCCAGCCCAGAACCAGGAAACGCATCCCATAACATCAACTCTGTGTCAGAGGAAAAATACAGACCCTTATTATAGACAGTGAGGGCTCATTACTATCCTCCTCCCCAACCAGTGTACTGAGTCCTATCTGGGTACCAGTCACTGTGGTCAGTGGAATTGTTTCATTTTTCTTTTCTGAAACTGGGTCTTTCTTTGAAGTTCAGGCTGGCCTTGAACTCACCATGTTGGCCAGGCTGGCCTCTAACTCGAGGTGATCCACCTGTCTCAGCCTCCTGAGTGCTGGGATTATGGGTGTACACCACTACACCCAGCTAAAAAGAAAGCTGGGATTCTGGGTATCATTTCTACTTCAAAATAAAACCCTCACAGGTGAGCACACCTATAATCCTAGCATTTGGAAGCTTAGGCAGATGAATTCCACACTTGCAAGGTCAGCCTGAACCAGGTAACAAGACCCTATCTCAAAAAACAAACAAAAAGGACCCTGCTTTGGCCTAGAATACCAGAATCTCAGAGTTGAAAGATTCTATCGAAGTCAGCCTTCCTTCCCACACACTCCCAAGAGAGCTGTGCAAAAGGCCTTCAGCCCCGATTAGCAGTGCTGTTTGCAGAACTCCTTCCCAGAGACTCCTGTGTTCTGCTCCCACCCTCTGGCCCTCCCAGTTTGGCATTCTGAAGACACACAGTAATTGTGTCCCTTCACTGCGACTTCCTGCCTGGGCTTTCTGCTCTTTGTAAAAGGCCCTGGACAAGAAGCTTTGGGGTTGGAAGTGCTCTGGGCTTGCTTTTTCCCTTCCGGGGTCGCATTCCCAGGGAGGCGGCTGAGCCCAAGTGGCTGTTACGCAGCTTGTGATGTAAGGTTCTGCCAACGCTGACTGTAGCCTGTCATTACCTCCCTGACGTTCCCATTTTTACAGGTGAGGCCCTGAGGTCATGGCATAAAACGACCGGAAGTCAGGGCCTGAATCCAGTGATCCCACCATTCTTCTAAGCTAGGAACAGAGACTCTGGGTCTTTATGAGTTAAGCCTCATCTAAAACAGGCACATGAGGAAAAAGGAGGACTTCCCTTTTCCCCAGACAGTCGCCCTAGGAAGTACCTGGCTCCCCTGCCATTACAGGCCAGGCCAGAGGCGCCAGCTTTGAAACCAAAGCTCGCCAGTGAGATGAATATTTCAAAGCCCCAGAGAACTGGACACCGGACAGACCTTCCATGACATCTGGCTCGCCCCCTCCCCGTCCCTGGCCACTCTCCCTACTTACCCCATGTCCAGGTGCTCAGGCTGAACCCCAACCCTGTGGGTACCACCCTGAGGCCATGGTGCAGTCAGGAACTGGCTTTACTAGTTCTCTCTGCTCTTGTCTCCCAAGTCTTCCCCACTCGTTTCCCCTTTTTCCATCTCCCTATTTTGCTTTCACCGTGACTTAAAGAGGTCAGAAGGATGGTACTTCCTGGGAGCTTCCTGAAGCCTGCCTAGGGGGCAGGGGCAGGAAGGCCAGGCAGAGGCCATAGCTCTGCGTGAGATGAGGTACCCACCTTCCCATCCCGGGACTGAGGCCCCTCCATGGCTTCTGCCCCATCTCTGAGCTAAGATTCCTCCCTACTTCGGACACTGATTCACCTGTCTACGCAAAGCCCGCCAGGGAGACGCCTCAGCAGCCAGGAGCCACGCCAGCCCCCTGCCCTTCGACGCCGGCCACTCTGCGACAGAGGCCAGTCCAAGAGCCCCCCCCCCCCAGAACCTGCACAGCTCACTGCTACGTGTAAGACGCTGCTCCGTTCCCATGGCTAACCAGGTGCCACGTCCCCTCCCGAAACGCGCAGGGAAAAGCGAAACTCCGGCGGCCGGGACGCAGCGCTCCACTCGGTGCCTGCTGCCTGCTCCCAGAAAGTTTGGGAGCCTCGGGCCGGCGCCGCCCCAGCCCTGACCCATTCCCCACCGGCCCGCAGCCCCCACCTCACCTGGCCCCGGCCTCGAAACTTGCCTACGCCACTAGCGACGGTGCGTCCCAAACTCCGGCTGCTGCGAGTCCTGCGGGGACCCGACCGGCCGTGGCGTCGCACTGGGACTCCGCGCCCCGCCCTGTGGCGCCTGCACCTTGGGGCGGGGCCTCGGGGCGCCGCCAGGGGGCGCCAGGGGTCCCCACGTATCCTACCCCAGGACTGAGAATGCTGGCTGGGATTTCAGATTTCCGGGAAACGATGCTTTTGGTGAAAATTTAGAAAGCGCACAAGTACCGGGAAGAAAGTAACTTCCCCCCTCCCAGCTCTCAGGAGGAAACGATTGCTTTGGGTGCTCCTTTGCCTATATGTATTTTTTATTTATTTTTCTAGAATGGGCAATATTATTAACTGATGCTAAATTTTTTGTTTAGCTCCCCCCCCGCCCGGTGCCTAACAAGCACACTATTAGTGAGCGACATCCCCAGCCCTATTGTCCATGATTTTACTTAGCATTTTATCGTGAGCATTTATCTTGGGGAAGGGGACTGTACAAAGAATCAAGCCCCGGATATCACATTTGCCAGGCAGGCGCTGCGCCACTGAGCTATATCCCTAGCTTCATGAGTATCAGTACCTCCCACAAGCCAGGTTCTTCAAAGACAAAATACAACTTTAGAGCTGGGCATGTAGCTCAGTGGAAAACCTGTGTCTCGATTCTGTAGGGGTGGGTTTGATCTCAGCACTGAAAAAAAAAAGTAAATAAAGGCATAGTTTTTGGTTTTTTGGTGGCAGGGATCAAACTCATAACCTAGTGCTTTCCAGGCAGGCACTTATGCCACTGAGCTAACTCCCCAACGTTGGGCATTGTTTTAGTACTGCAGAAGTATTGCCTACATGGCCACTCATTAAGTCGACTTCTTACCAGTCAACTTCTTACTTCCCATTTTTACTTTATTGAAAGTAAACCCCCCCAAAAAAGTAAACCCATAATGAACATTCTTCACCATCCTATGGTTTTAAACTAAGTGCAGTTTTCAAATTCCAAACTTCCAATAATGTAAACAGATGTGTGGTTTAGATTCTCTGCATGGAAGTAGTCGAGCGTTGCTTAATGATGGGGACACATTCGCTGAGGGGATTTCATCACTGTGCAATCTTTGTGGGGTGCACTTACACACACTAAGGTTGCTGGGACTCACCAGGTGACAGACTCTTATGGACCACCGTCATATGTGTGGTCCCTCTTTGACTGTCATGTAGCACAGCACTCTGTCTCTACCTGGAAAGCAGGTATGAAACCCTACATTGAGAAGCGGGTTACTATTTGTGCGAACACTGAGCTTGGTCTCCCCTGTAGCCGCTCACGTAGACTGCAGTTCCAGTAAACGTGAGAGAAGGGGTTCAGAGAAGTAAAACCTCACCTGAGCTCACCTGGGTTTGTGTGGTTCCAAAGTCCACCTTTTCCCCATTATGAGAAGGCTGCCTGGCTGAGCAGCTATGTTGAAAGTGCTTATCACAAGCTGGTAGCCACAGGTCAGCACCACCACCCTACCAGTCTTTCATAGCCTCTTGACACTTTCCCCTTTTTGAATGGACAAAGACTGACTTGCCAAAGTGAGGCTATAAATGTAGGCTGTAGGAGAACCTCCTGACACCAAACTCACCCCTGGACACTTCTTACATTATCTCTAGTGGCCAGCCTATCCCTTTACACAGAGCAAGGTTTAGGAAGGAGGAGCTCAGGGATTTATCTGGAGATTTATTTGCATAATAAACAGTGAAAGCAATGAGCAAGTATAATGAGCAAAATTACCATCTAAACTATATGTTTCACACCAATTAAGAGATGTTTTAGCGAACCATCATGGTGTTGCATGTCTATAATCCCAGCACTTAGGAAGCTGAGGCAGGAGGATCAGCACAAATTCAAGGCCAGCTTGAATTTACAGAGCAGGACCCTGTTTCAAGAAAAAAAAGAGAGATGTTTTTAAAATTGACCACACGCTGTCACATGGAATCCAAATCCTAACACCAGGAACCAGCCCTCTCCCACTCTTTTTTTCCTCCAAGACAGGAAGAGGGAAGAGAATGAGGGAAAGTCAAAATGATTAAGATGTGCTATGTAACTGCACCATCCCCCAAGATGAATGTAATCACTATGTATCCAAACATATTCTAATAAAAAAAAAAAAAGAAACCAAAGGCCACTGTGAGCTTGCGCAGTGGCCTGCTCTCGCTCTGCAGAGTACTTCTCCCTCTAATAAATGTAAAATCTCACCACCTTAAAAGAAAGAAACCAAAAAACTCAAAAGACAAACACTTGGGTGACCATGCAGAAGTATGAGTACAGTTTATGGCAGAGCAGTCCTAAAGATTTATGCCTTCAGAGATGGTGAGCCACACTACCTAGGCATCTCCCCATAGTGTACGTTTGAGTATCTTTTTATGCCCACAAGAGTTACTCCTGGATTTAGGGAACTATGGTCATTATCATTGTGCCATGTACATGCTGTTTGTGTTTAGCAACATTTTCCTTAAAGGTTACTTTCAAATTGCAAAATAACTTCCTTTTTTTTTTTTTTTTATCAGTACCAGGGATCGAACACATGACCACCTGTGACCACCTGCTTGTAAGGCAGGTACTTATGCCACTGAGCTAAATCCCCAGCCCCCAAAATAACTTCCTTTATCACATGCTCAGTGTTCTCTTAGGGATCTGAATCCTGTAGGAAGTTTAGGGAAGAACTCAATTATGGTGTCACTCTCTTGTGATTCCAGCACTCTGGAGCAAAGGCGGGAGGATTGCTGCAAGTTCAAGGCCAGCCTGAGCTATGTAGAGAGACTCTGTCTCAGACTCTGTCTCAGAAAAAGAGAGAGAAAGAGGAGAAACTTACAAAAGAAAAAAAAATTGGTGGTACCAGGGTTTAAACCCAGGGTATCTCGTTCAGGTACATCCCCAGCCCTTTTTATTATCATTATTATTATTATTTTGTGACAGAGTCTCATTAAATTACTAAATTGCTCAGGCTCCTAAAGTGCTGGGAAATGGGTGTGCACCACCATACCCAGCTACAAAGAAACTAATCTAAATCAGGGTCTTTAGGGTCTGGTAGGATCTTTAAAGAATGTTTCCCTTTCTGATAGCATTGAGCATAGCCTGTAACAATCAGGAATGCTGTTTGCCTCATTCTAGAAATATAGGCCCTGTGTCTGTGGATCTGAGACCTAATAAATGATTATAAATATATTGGATGCTGAGGTCTTGTTATCAGGCACTGCTTCTACCCGAGTAAACATTACCAAGTTCTGAGTTGCTCATTTCTCCTGCTGCAGTTAGATTACAAGTTCTTATCTCAAACAAAAATTGAACAACAAGAGCAAAAAAGCAGTGGCAAAGTTTATTCAAGAAAGCAAAAGTCAGGGCTGGGGATTGTGATAGCTCAGACCCCGGAATAAAATCTGAGGAAGCAAAAAACTTGGAGCAAAAGCTTTATTTTAGGCCAGGCCTGGTGACGCAGCCTCCTGTAGCCATCATGAAAGACTGCGCGCCTCACAGGCTAAAAGTGGGGTTTTTAAAGCTAAAAACATGCAAAGCTATCAACCTATTTCAGGTAACATCCTTGGTACATTCCGTTGCTCTCTGCGATTAAACATTTTCTCGGAACAGCACACCTTGCAGAAGCAAGGGGGGGGGGATTTACAAGGAGCTGAAACTTAAGTCTTTACTGGAAATGGAATTTTAATCTTTATTGAAACGGTGCATACGGAACAGGAAGGAGGCGCATTGGTTAGAGCTAGGCCACAACAGGGATTTAACTCATTGGCACCAAGCCTGCCTGACAAGTGAGAGGTCCTGCATTTGAGTTCGGGTACCCACCTCCAAAAAAAGAAAAAGAAAGTGAAAGTGATGAGTCCAGGAGTAACTGGACTCATCTTCCCCCAAAAGAAGATAAGCACAAAATGGGAAACAGCCTGGGCTGTTGTGGAAAGTTACCATAGCAAGGTTCTTCATGGCTGCCTTTTTTTATACTCTCAAATCTACTTCTACATATGGACCCCACCCCTCCAGCTGACATCAGATCTAGGCCATGCTACTGGAACCCACCCAACTTCTCGGGAGAAGTCCAGGAGAGGTCTCAGGCTCTGAGACCCGTTCTGTGCAGGTGTCTAGGTCCTGTAATTGTCAGGGCATGCCTACTTCTGCAGCCAGCTTTTATCATAATCTCCTGTCTCAATGTCTGTCTTGTTTATTAACTAGAACTGGCAAAGCATGTGATTTTGGGTCCTGGGGATCAAAGTCACAATTTTGTGCTTGCCAGGTAGGCACTTGTGCCACTGAGCTAAGTCCCCAGCTCTAAAGCATGAAATTTTGCACCCTCTTGTCCATAGGCCAGCTAATGCCTCTACATGCCTGCTTGTCACACACATTATATGAGTTTATTTGTCTAGACAGATGCACTTTGAGTAGGAGTTTTGGGGAACTGGTAGACAGGATGGTAAGTTAGCCCACCCGAGCACCCAACTCCTCAGTGTATTTCTACTTTCCGCAGCTTATACACCTCCTTTAAGGCAGTCTCTTTCCAGAATGAGCTCACCTGAAGAAACATGGCTCAAATTCAGTCTCCCTCTTACTAGACAATGACGCTGAAGGTGAACTGTACAACCCTGTATAATCTCGCTGGCTCCCCTTGCATACCCCTCGTGCTCTGCACCTGAGCCCTCTCTTATCCCATTCCTGCTGCTATCATAAAAATACCTTTGGGGCTAGGAGTGTAGTTCAGGGGCAGGGTGCTTACCTAACCTGCTTCAGGCCTTTGGTTCTATCCCTAGCACAGCACATAAATGGTCCTCTTCTTAACTGTAAGGCCCTCAACAGATTGTTAATTAAGCTCCTGTTGTCTGCCAGCCAGACAGGAATTTCCAGTGCTAGAGATGACTGTGAGATGTACATACAGTGGGCTGTTTGCCTAGTCAGCTCAGATGCTCTGGTACCAGGAGAGCTGCAACAGCTACAGCATCTAGGCATAAGCCATCCCTTTGCTACAATGTCTAATTCATGACTCAGACACCTTAGAGGCTGTTGAGTAGGTCCTCATCCTTCAAAAGCACTCCCAAAGCCACGCCCTGCCTTTTATCAGCATGCTGATTGAAAGTGTGTCCTGTCATAGGCTTAGTGCTGAG